AGCGTTGATAGCTATTATTGAGATGACGTTGCAACCTCTAAAAGTAACTCTACTTCGTGCTCTATGGGTGGTGGTGGTGGGAATCATTGGTCTATAATTCTTCAAGAATGAAGCCGGCCGTGGTGTAACAGTCACTGGGGAATCTTAAAGGGCCATGATAACTGACTTTTTGACTGATGCGAGCGATTTTGGCTTCCAACGAGATGACGCTACAAGCCATACAGCCAACGAAACAATAAATTTATTGAAGGAAACTTTTAATGAGCGTATTTTTGATTGTGGTGGGCCTCGAAGTTCTTGGGGTGTAACACTGCCGAACTATTTTCTGTGAGCTTAAGTAAAGTCGCATATCTAGACAGGTAAGCCGGATAAAATTAACGCTTGGGAAGAGAATATTCGTGGCATTTTTGTTGACATATGACACCGATTGCTGCAAGAAGTGGTCAAAAATTTAGACTCTAGGCTGGAGTTTAGTGGATCCAGCTGTGTGGGTCACATGCCCAATACCTGTATATATTTAAGATTTTGTTCAGAATGAGTAACGGATTAACCCAGAGCTTTAAGTACTGGTCGCAGAGACCTGTGTGTGACGAGTGCACCCGATAAGAAGGGTTTTTTAGGCAAGAGTATCTTGAGCCGATCTATTTGAAAAATCTAGTTTACTTCTAAATCACTTGATTTGCATGAAATTTAGTACACAGGTAACAATTGCCTAGTTGAATATGGGTCAGGCAACTGGTCTATTCGAAATTTTTTTTTATCGTTTGATTTAAGGGCTTAAATACACTTGGAAAGCAAAATAAATGCTTTCATTTGTTAATTTTTTTTTTTGGGAGACACTTTATTCTAATGATTAAGGGCTAAAGCTTACTCTAGAGGTTGAAAAATAGACTTTTTTTTTTTAAATTTATTTTAGGAATATGGGAAAAGGAATAGAATCTGTATTAAACTATTTCATTACACATATATTGAAGTATAAAAGAATATCCTTTAATAATTAGTTTATTAGAAAATGACGATGAAAGTCCATTTTTTAATCCATGTCTTTTTGAAAGGCGTCCAAGGGAGGACCGATCTCTTCTAAAGCAAGAGACCTAGAACAAAAAAGCAAGAAGCTCTACGATCTTAAAGCAATGGTTTTTGGTAGAATGTACTGATTAATTTTTTAATTAATTTTTGGCGCTTGAACAAACTAAATTTTTTTGACTAAAAATATACTCACTAAATTACTAAAAAATTTTAAACTATTTGGGAAGTTACCAGCAAAATTTCCGAAAAATCGCTGCAATACAGTCCGGATAATCGATCCTCCCAAATTAAAAAACGTGATTTTGAGAAAAACGCTTATAAAGTTTTCATTCTACTCACAGCATGCTCTGAGAGGCTGAAAAGTTCAGCTATTTAAAATACTTTTTTTTTACTCTGAAACAAATCGCATATCAAATATATATATTGCGTTTTTCAAAATTCTAGAGTGGCCTTACCCCTCAATAGAAAAAATCACTGATTTTTATATATTTAGTTAAGCAATAAACGATTCATTTTGAAAAATATAGAATCCTCTTGTGCCTTTAGCCATAGCTCCCAGAAGGACCTCCAAAAAAGTTGTCTGGCAGTGAGGAAGATATTTCAGCTTAAAAATAATCTGAACCAAACAAATTTAGTATTATAACGGTTGAATTCTATATGTTTCCTAGCAGCTCGCGTGAATTTTTTGAGCTGAACGGTTTAGCCGTTTCAGAGAAATTTTCCTCATCGATTCTGAAAACAGCGTTTCGAGAAAACCGCATCTAAAGGTTTGGACACCCTTTAAACTAAGTTAAACTACTTCGCCTTGCGCTTCGCCTATTTTCGAACGCCGCGAGACGTCCTTAATTATACGTTTATAACTCCGAGACTGTTTGTCGAATCAACTTCAGATTTTCGGAAAATATTCTCAAAAATATGTGCATTCGAAAAATTAAAATAGATTTTTTTGAAAATTACAAGTGAAAATAACTCCTTAAATAATATTTGATACAGTGAAAGCTTTGGTCTCAAATTATACATGTTCACAGGAAACTTTTCTTTCTGGAAATGAGCCAGGGACTTTTCTGTTCAGGGTAATCATATTCATAGTTCTATTTGCTAGATATCTTGAGTGTAGATAGTTTTGTGTGAAGAAATTTCCATTTCGTGAGCGATCTATATGGAAGAAGCATTCTCGCAGTTATGGCGCGATTTGCTTGAAATTAGGAACGTAAATAACGTAAAATCCTAAAAAAATTCTTATTAGAACTATCTTATAATACCAGGAGGACGAAGTTGTGGGCAACCTCTAGTCTTTACAATAGAGCTAATTTCTTCTTCTTAAAAGCCACATGTATGAAAATACAGCCTCTCTGCATACATATACAATATATGTCGTTCAGTGAAAACTTTTCGCAATCAAAATTGTATTCCTAATCAATTCCACCAACAAAGCTCAACGCTTAATTGAAAAGAATGCAAAATAATCACTCATATATACGAACGCGTACACTCTGCGATTGTTTATTTTTATGCGCCTCATAAATATTAGTATTTCAAATTAAACTGTTTATTGTTCTTACTGCTGCTGTCGTTGCTGCCACTGCAAAAAAGTAACGCCCCAAGCACCGATGCTTTTTATTACTTTTTGATTTTCTTCTTCTTCCTCCTCTTCTTCTACTCAAATGCGATCTGAGTATTTGTTTTTGTGATTTTCAAACGGCGCACACAGGCATACCGAATTACGATTGTTGTTTATTTTAATTATATTGTATTTATGTATGTGTGTGTGGGTGTGTGTATGTGCTGAAAGTTTAATTTGAATTTAATTACATGCACTGCACACGGGAGAGTAGGAGATGGCCTGTGCGCGGGTGGTGAGTATAAAAAAAGTCAAGTGCAGAGAGGTTTCGACGATGCGAGTGAGTGAATGAGTGAGTAGAATGGACGCGAGACGCTGCTTGCTTAGGCGACGTGTAGTATATTTAGTAAGCAACCAATGAAACAAATAAATAAATTAAAAAAAAAATAGAAAAAAAAACACAAATAAATAAATAAATGAATTTATTGCAACGAAAGAGGAGAATAATAAGTAAACTTGCATGCAGCAACAACATTTATAATTACAAGTAAATATGCTGATGTGTTGTGGCAATAGTTTGTGTGCACGCTGTTTAATTGACAGCGTAAAATGTGTGCGCGTTAATTTGATGGCTTCGACGATAGCGTGGAATAAACGCGTGAAAAGTGTGCTGATATGAGCGGGTGTGCGTCTGTCGGTCTGTGTGTGGCGTTGCGGGCGTTAAAGTGATAACACTAATTATATTATTGTACATATACTTGGACAAATATGTGTATACATATATGTACGTAGATACATACACGTAGACGAGTACACAACTGTCGCTTAAAGAAATAAATCACACAGCATTAATTAAATTAAATTTGTTGTAGAGAGAAGACCAACAACAAAAATGAATAGTTTATTCGATTTATCACCTCACAGTAGAATAAATAGACATAAATAGAAGGAATAAAATTAAATTGTAATTAAAATAGGAACGAATAATACAACAACAGATTACATGGCTGATATGTTGACTTAGAGAAAGAACTCTGGCCAGTTGAGTCAGCAACCTTTGGTTCAGTCCCGGCCAGAAGAGGTCTGTTGAGCAGATGTGTTGATCTTCTACCATTTTTCTTTGTTGTTTAACAAAAATTCATCTTATATTAACAAATAGATATTTTGCTCACAAATTTATAATATAAAATAATAATATTTAAAAACAGAAATAAGTACGGTTGTTGCACTGATATGCCTTTCTCTATATGAAAACTAATAATCAAATCCCAAAGAAGCGCTTTAACGATGGGTATTGCCGTACCGCCGTGAAGAGGTAGAAAATCAATAGACCAAAAAGCGCAATCGATGAGAGAAATACCCAGTGCTGAAGAGGAAGCCGACACGTGCCTGCAGACAGTACAAGAAAGAATTGCTATTTTCGCCTTGCCGAGGACTTTATACCTTCTATGAGCACATCAATTATATTGTATCGCTCTTAAAATAAATAATTCAAACTTATATCAGAACAAATCCGTTGAACTGGGCTATATGTTATAGCCCACTGATTTCGATGACTGTCGGTGTACTTATTTGTATATACGGATGTAGAAAACCAAAACTCATGCTTTTAGATGCTTTTTTGATAGGGTTATGACACAAAAATGTGATTTCTGAAAAAATCGCTTGTATGAGAGATATATGATATATATGAAATCGGAGTACTGATTTCGATGATTTTCGGCGTCAATATTTATTTTAAATGGACATGTGTAGAAGACCAAATTTCACTTTTTTCGATGCATTTTAATGGATTTTTCACTCAAATTCACAAATCTGAACAAAACGATGTTCTAGTGGTCCGTTTTGTGTGCTTTCCACAAATAATTATAAAAATATTAAAATACATCGGCGTGCCAATTTTAGTTCAAATATCTCAAAAACTGACGGACTAGTTAGACCTAGATAGACAGATATGACAAAGTTCCTCGTAATCGGATCGGTATATGTAGTTTCAGAGAAGGTGATCCTTGTCCTTTATTTTAATGTCGGCATACGCCGATGGTATTGACAACAACGGTGTCGTTAGCTCTGAAATCTCTAGACTTCATAAGGATGCAAAGGGTGTGAGTTTGGTAGGCAATGATGATGATGAACGCGATTCGTTGCAGAACCCGTCGGCAAAAACCGAAGAAGAGGAAGAACACCACTTTCTTGAAAGGATTATGTAGAGAGCGGTCTAGTTTCACTCCGTATTTCCAACTGGCACCAAACAGCGAAACGTAAAAAATTGTATGAGCTCTTTATCTCTTAATCACTCTCTCTTTCTCTCCTTCTCTTCTTCTCTCTCTCTCTCTCTCTCTCTCTCTTTCTCTCTCTCTCGCTCCCTCTCTTCCTCTATCTCTCTCCTATCACTTTGCATGTCTCTTCTACTGACGACAACAACAACTTTTGATCTCATACCAGATGATCAAGCTAGCTTGAAGCTAAGTCGAAATAATTTACCAGTGTGTTTTCAATTCACTTGTCGGTCACTATTATTTATTTCCCTGTTCGCAATCAACATGTCTAGTCTGAAATTGAGTTTATTTCATAATTTATTTGTATGCTTTATTTTATTTAATTGTCTAATAAATGACAGCTTTGCTGATACTGAAAATGCTGATGAGACAGTTGAAGTAAAATTTCAGAATGAAGAACGAAATATTACAATAATCGGTGTACGTAACGAGAGTTTTAACGCTAAAGAATATTATGCATTTCGTGGCATACGGTATGTAAAGCCGCCCGTAAATGAGCTGAGATTTAAGGTGAGATAAGGTGAGATTAGTGGACAGAACAGTAATATTATTTTTTTTTTTTTGGTGTTCTTAGGATCCTCAGCCACTCACTCAGCTGCCATTAACCATCGACGCCCGCTACGATGGACATGACTGTCCTTCAATTTATGCTACAAATGCCTCCGAGGATTGTCTCACACTCAATATTTATATGCCGACGGTAAGACGATCACACTATTTGCTGAAAAATAAGCACTATCTAAACGGAATTTTAATTTCAGACCATAGAAGCCGCTGCGTTACCTGTATTAGTCTTCATACATCCCGGTGGCTTGTATGTTGGTTCGGCGCTTAGTAATTTCATTGGCCCTGCTTATCTGCTCTCGAAACCACTTGTAGTGGTCACTTTCAATTATCGTCTTGGCACACTTGGTTTCCTACAACTCGGCACACGTGAGATACCGGGTAATGCGGGTTTCAAAGATCAAGTGTATGCCTTGCGTTGGGTTGAGAAATATATTGCACACTTTGGTGGTAACCCTAAGGATATTACGCTCATGGGCTACAGCGCTGGTGCATTGAGTGTTAGTTTGCATTTGGTGTCGCCTATGTCGCGTAATCTCTTCCAAAAAGCTATAATAATGAGTGGCTCATTACCACCTCAAACAGTGTTGCCGCAGCATTCACAGTTGGAGCTGTTGCGCAAACAAGCTCGTGTGCTCCAATGTACGGGCGTCATGAATGAAGTGGAGATTTTAAATTGTTTGGCCACTTTTAGTGGCACTGAAATTGCGGCAACCCTACGTAAGCTATTTGTTTTCGGCAAAGATAATCCAATTTACATTTATCTGCCAGTTATTGAAAGAGATTATGGACAAGAACGCTTCTTAGTTGAAGATCCTTACGAAAGTCTGCAACATGGCGCGTTTTCGAAATTGCCCATTTTAATTGGTTTTACAAATGGAGAATTTTGTCAATCAGCTGTGGACATCTTCAAAGACACCAAGTTGGTTCAGCATTTCTTTGAAGAGTTTGAAAATGTGGCGCCAGAAATTTTTATGTACGCCAATCATGACGGAAATTTTAGTATGATCAATGAGGTGCTGAAAAATTATTATCTACGAAATTCAGAAGAGTTGACGCGAGTTAACCTACCGCGTTTATGCGATTTTTTCTCAGATGCAATTATTCGCTTTGGTGCACATCGCTTGGTGGAGTTAGTTGCACCGTATACTAAAGTGTTTCCGTACAGCTTTGAGTTCAGAGGAGAGTTTAGCAATTTGGATTATCCCCTAAGACCAGGTATGAAACTTTACCCACATTTAGTTTTAATTTAATTCAATTTATTTATTTTATTTACATTTTTTTTTTTTAATATATTTACATTTCTTTTATCATCTTTTCATTAAATTTTTCTCAATTTTCTTTTAATTTTATTTTTTTATTTAATTTTAATTTTTTTAATTTTTTAATTGTTTTTTAAATGTTTTTTAATTGTTTTTTTATTTCATTTTATTTTATTTTAATTTATTAATTGTTTTTTAATTGTTTTTTATTTTATTTTATTTTATTTTATTTTATTTTATTTTATTTTATTTTATTTTATTTTATTTTATTTTATTTTATTTTATTTTATTTTATTTTTATTCTATTTTATTTTATTGGATTTCATTTTATACATATATATATATTTTTATCTCTCATTAATATGACTTTTAGCCCGCGTTGAGCATATGGACGATTTAATGTATTTATTTGAAATGCCATCAAGTAACTTTAGTCGTACGGAGTCCAATCTAGATATGATCCGGGGATATACGAAGTTCGTATATGATTTCGTTAAAGAAGGGTGAGTTAAATAGATTTATATATTTTAGAAATGTTTTCTCTAAAACCGTAAACAAACTTCAAATTACCAGTGATAGGCTTTTTGGGAAAATACCAACTTATCCAGCTGGCTACACTAAAATTTATCGTGATTTGGAATTCCAACCTGGCACGAGTTTCCCCATGGACACCTACGAGATGTGGAAGGATTTATTTCTAACTTCAAAACGAAAGAAAAATAAGAAAAATAAACGGATACAAGATTTACAAGCAGAACCGAGTGTCGGAATTAAAAATGTGATTGACAGTCAAATATTGTTGAAAAATTTTGTTCTTTACTTATTTTCAAACTATTTATGAACATGCGCTGACTGAACTTAGAACCTTATATTTTAGTGATCAATTTTTTTGAGATTATGAAAGTATGAGGGAAAGTATCCCGGAAATATATACCAACGTTTCCAATTACAAGTTTAATTTCTTTATTCTCTTTATTTTCTTTTTGTATGCCTGAATTGTATTTTGAAAAATAGTTTACATGTTTAAAAAAACTAGTAAATTTTTTCCCTGGTCCGCGTTTTAAACATATCAACACATCCGCATAATTTAATTTCACACTGGCGTCACGCAACCACTCGATGTTGCCAGCAGTGTGAAATAATCAAATAATGTAAACCCAGCGGATATTATCTGTCGACTAAAGCAAACAAGAGTATGTAGATACATAAAAATGTACATTTGCGTTGATACACTCAATTTTGAATTCTTTAATTAAATTCGGAATTGAATGTAATTGATTAAACAACACTTGCAGTGTTTCAAGCGATAAAATATTCAACCCAAAAAATAAAACAATCATTTGAATGATGTAGTGTATTACATATATTTCTAAGGCTCAAACTTTATGATAAATAAGGTATTTTATGAAAAAGTTTATTTCAAACTCATTTTATTTACGTCTATTTTCGAAACCGCAAAATGTATAACTCTGTATTTTCATTAATCCAGTTCTGCTTAAGATGTTTTAATACGAAGCTTTGCTATGCCCAAAATTGGTAATTTCACGCACGATCTGAGCCAGCGCCGTAAGGTATGCAAGGATTTGCGCTCCTCACTTAAACAGGCATAAATTATTACTATTGAATGTAAAATTAATTATAAAAATAATTAATTAACAGTGAAATCATTGAGCGTAAATCAATTATTTAGGTAATTAAACAAATTATTACAACTAAACTTAAAAAAAAATAATTAATAAAAAAATAATAATAATTAAAATAATTATATTCCAGATGAAAATTTAATTTTATCACACTTAAGTTTTGTCGTGCATGTGGTTTTTCCACAGATTACCACCAAATCCATTTAAAATTCTCTCAGTAAGACATAGAGAAAGAGACGGAGAGAGTGCGCGCATAAAAGCGGCTGTGAAAAGAACAACCTTGAAAAACAGGCTAATAAAACACAAGACAAAGAAAAAAAAATGAAAAAAAAAACAAATAAAAATGTACAAATGCATGAATGTAAGTCCCTTTGCGCATAGCACATTGCATAAATTTATGGCCTGCCCAGCAGAAGAGCAACAGCAGCAATGTGCTTGCAACAAAAGTCAATGCAGCCGGCAACAGTTCCGTTTGCCCACGCCAGTGCCATTGCCAATGCCCTTAGCTGTTGGCAATGATTGTGGTTGTGATTGCGGTTGCCAGTTGCATACATTTATGTACGATTATATACAGTGAGCGGCAAGCAAAATTGGCACAACCTGCTGCAAGAGCAACGCATCGTACCATGTTGAGATGCCACTCGCGCTGGCTGTTGGCTGGTGACTGTTGGCTGTTGACTGAAGAATATCCATGAAATAAGTAAAAATAAAAAAGAATTGTATTTATAAAGATATGAGGAGATGATGAATTCGCAAAAAATTTACGCCCGGCATGGACAATAAGTGCCTGCATACTGCATATTCATAGTACGTACTCTTATGTATGTAGATTGTATTGTGGTATGAAAGTATATATGCATGTGGTGTACGACAAATTTCTGAGGAAATATACAAGTAGTAGTTGGAATGTAAATATACTAGTTCATATGTATGTAGTATGTATGTCTAAATGTGTTAAGTGGCACCTACTTTTATTGTCGCATCATCCTAGTGAGACGCAACAGACGAAAAGGTAGATATTTAAGAGAAAAAAAAAATTAAAAATTAAGAAACAACAAAGAAGAGAAGAAAAATTACTAAAATAAATAAAATATAGGAGTATACTATACATATGTCTTCAACTCTTTATTGCTTCATGTCTGAGCAAGTATGCACAACTTGCTTGGGTAAACTTTAAAAACCTGGCCTTATGATGCGTGCGTCATTGGGCATACTTACATACATACAAATACATACACACCTTCCTGCATACCTATATACGTACATGCTAACATGTACAAGTTCAACAACGAGTTCAAGGTGAACCTCTGTCTGTTGTGCCTTGCCGGTCGTCCTATTGCGCACTCATACCTTCATACAAAGGGCATTTTTTGTTTGTTTGTTTTTCGCGTCTCTCAGCCATACGCACAAGTTTACATACACTTGTAGCACAAACCAGCCTGTCGGATCTTCCAAGACACTTTAGTGTCTACTCAAGTGGAGTTTCAACTTTCAGCTTCGTTTTTGCATATTCTTTTCACCTTTTTTGTTGTTGATCACTTTTTCCATTAGTGTCTGAAATTTTCGCTGGCGAACATATGATAAAACTTAGAATAAATAGTTTGGACCATCCTCTTTGATACAGCTGCTGTGAAAAGCTGAAGGGGCAATTCTAGCTGGAATACGATATTTTAGAATTGAAATGCAGCCAGTCGCCAATCTTTTCTGAGTGACACGATCATGGTGTGCATAGTGTTATTTTCTTCTTTTCCTATAAATGAACTAGTATTTAACTAGTATAAAGCTTATGCATAGTTGGGCAATTGGAATCCTTCACAATAGTAAACCAATCCACTATTCCTTTCACCATTCAGCAGGAATTGGAGGCATCAAGTGTATCCAGGAGCAATAGAACACAGTGCTTAACTAGTATAGCCTCTCTTTCTTGATACGCTGGACTTTGTTAATCGTTTCATAAATCTTTTGTGAAACCTTTCCAACCATTTTGATTCTTTGGTGAATCTCATTAGAGCCATAACTTAGACGTCAGATATCTTTAACAGAACATCAAGCACAAGGATCCGAAAACTCCAAAACTAAGCCCTGATCAATGCCGGATAGTAACATAAGAGATGATTGTTCGTTTTTTCCACCTCATTCTCCTTACAGCTACTACAGCATCTTATATAGGAAGGCCCTTATTTTTTCGCGTGCCTTTCTATTTTAAGTGTGCTGTCAGAACTCCTATTACTTTGAGCTTGCTCACTCTTTTTAAGGATTACTTATCTCGTGATCTCTTCTTAACCCATTTAGACCAAGTCTGCCAGGATTTGCGGCAGGTTGTAATATCATTCCACCTTGTTCACAGGTATATTTTTTGAGAAACAGTTAGCATTTGGCAAAATGCTTACCAATTCGTTCTTTATCGAAAGGAATCTGCTTCGTCATAACTTGCCTAACAAGCTCATCCGCTTTACGGCTTCCCTCGATGTCCCTGTAACAAGGGATCTTGGTGAGATCTGTTCATATTTTGTAAAGATTGGCGGCAGTCCAGTCTAACTAACCGATAAGCTTTAATCATTTCGTTGAGGACGTACTTTCATTTTTCATACAAAAGACTCAAACTTCAATAACGCTTTGTGGATAATCTTTTCACTACTCAAGTCAAAATACTAAAAAATACTTGTAGAACGCTTACGAATCACTATGGAAAGCTACCTTATATTCTGATAACCCGACGCCATTGCCGTATTGCTTTTTGGTAATTCTTGATATCTTCAGTTTCGTACATGAAACCGATTTTCGAATGAAAGTGAAACATTGGGTTCTTGGCAGTTAATATCTCATGGCTTTAAACCTTGATTTAACCAATTCGAGTAGAGCATTGCCTTAATTGAAAGAATTTTAATTTAGTTTTTTTTTTTTATTTTAACCTAAACGACTCAGCTAATAAAATATTTACAAAGTTCGTTCAACACCACGCTCAGTATTTTTATGTCTTTTACACTCTCTCTACAATTCTTTATAAATTCAAATCACTGCTGCCGCGACTTCACTGTTTTTTTTCTTTATTAATATCTTTTTTTTTGTTTCTTTTTGAAGTGAATGAACCGCAGAAACAGCAACAGCATACAAATTTCCTCTAACAAAACCGAAATCATTTCGGAGTTAATAAGACAAAAGAGGCGCACAAAGAGCCTTTCCAGTCGCCTTGACATTGACATTGTAAATTACATAAATTATTGACTTGTTGACACTGTTAGCGACAATTTAATGTCAACTGTGGCGCGTAATGACAATAAAATTTACATATGAAGACGTGTGTTTATATTGTATATAGAAATGTATGTATATACGTAATTTTATTTAGGCCCTCTAGAAAGCTGTTTGCAAGCTATAAAGGTGCTGTCAGAAGAAGCAATTAACTAATATGAAATTGTACGTCAAAAGGGGAAATTTCGAAAATTAATTGAGAGAGCGATCACAAAGCGCAAAAAAGTTTTATGAAAATCGTATTTCAATTTATGGAAATTAGTTTATTTCGCCAAAAATTATCAAAAGTTTTCATTGAAAATCTCAAATCCTGTGATAGCAATTTCATGAGAAATAAAAATTGCTGGTGTAGCATGAGCATCTGCAGATTTAAATGCGGAAATCCAAATGCAGTTTAGTGAAATTGCAGTGTTTTTATTTCCTCAATTACATGAAATTAAATGGCAGAAACTAAATTGGAAAATTAAAAAACCAAACAAAAAAATTAAATTACTGAAACTAATTTGGATATTTAATTTCGGAAATTAGTTTTGAAAATTTAATTTCAGAAATTAATTTCGGAAAAGTAATTTGAAAAAGTAAAATTTCAGATAAATGAGTGTAGTCTCACAGTGCAGTTTTAATTTCTGCAACTATATGAAATTGGATATCAGAAATTAGTTTGGGAAATTTAATTTCAGAAAGTAATTTTGGAAATTTAATTTCAGAAATTTGTTTTGAAAAAGTAATTTCAAAAGATAAGATTTCAAATAAATGAGTCACACAATGTAAATTTTATTCATGTAATTATTAGAAATTAAATGATAAAAATTAATTTTGAAAATTTAATTTCATAAATAAAATTTCAGTTAAATGAGTGCAGCTACACAGTGCAGTTTTTATTTCTGCAACTATATGAAATTTAATTCAGAAATTAATTTGGGAAATTTAATTTCAGAAATTTATTTTGATTTTGATTTTTTTTTTCATATAAATTGTATTTCAGAAATTAGTTTGCGAAATTTAATTTCAGAATTTAATTTGGGAAATTTAATTTCAGAATTTTTTTTTGAAAAAGTAATTTCAGAAACTTATTTTGAAAAAGTTATTTCAAAAGATAAAATTTCAAGTAAATGAGTCACACAATGTAAATTTTATTCATGTAACTATTTGAAATTAAATGGTAAAAATT